GCCACCATCTCTGACTTCCTAGATCGGAAAGCTGCTTTCGAATCAATCGACCGCTCTAAACTCTGGCGCTGCCTTTCTCTCAAAGGTGTGTCCGAGAAGTTTATTTCAATATTACAATCCATCTATAATGATAGCCGAAATCCAGTCAGAGCTTACGGCACTTTTTCACTCCAGTTTTGCAAGTGCTAAATCATACCGTTACACAAACCCCATGTGATCGAAGCTCACTATTGTGCACATGTCTGATTGAGCGTGGGAGATGTTGTTTGATGAAATGTGAGATGGATAGGATAAAGAGCAGTGAAAAGTTGTATCATTGAAAAAAGTATGGACGAGATTGGTAGTGGATAAGGGGTTGCTTATTGGAAAGTTCATAAACAGCATCCCTATACCACAGGTGTAGTGAGCCGAGTTAGGTCGCACAATGCTTCACAGTGTGCGACCAACATTTTAATCCCTCAAACAGTGGTCAGTAACAGAGAAACCGTGAACTGCAATTCATTGGGGATCATCAAGGGATTTCAGAGGTATGGTTAATCAAAAACTAGTCTCACAGCAGTAATCTGAAGGTGTGGTGCGCGCGTCCTGAACGAAGAAGCGACTACTTTGTATGTCAGCATTCCGAAACGATCATTGGGTAGAACAGAAATTCTATCGTCAAACGCATATCAAATACATTGATGAGATTTTATCCAATTTGCAGTAGTCATGAACTCGGTTCAGATGAGGAAATCTTACGGAGGAAGAGAGCAATTGTACAATGGATTTTGTCGTATAAGTAGAACGCAAGCGCACTATACACTGGCGTGCTACCTGTGATGTTCCGGGTTCGATCGATGAATTTGCACTACTGATGCAATCGAATCAGGTCGAAACAGCGGTACAGTGCTTCCTGGCTTTTTAGCTGACGTTTCGAATAAATCTTCCACTAATCTCGTACACAAGTATTGCCGGAAGAATAATAAAGTTAACAACGGTCCAATGCCTTCGACAACAGAATCATAGATGGGCGAAACAGCTGTGATGTTTATGTTCTATTATCAGACCTCCCATTGACAACCGATAAGCTTCCGTTCTTAAACGGTTTGCCTTAGTTCATAGCACAGTGAATTCGGTCATGGATGCCAGTAATGTGACAGTTGGACTGACGAACCACATAAGACTTTACCGGGATAGACGATGTATTGGCCTGAGTGACAGTAAAGCTGCCCGCCACAAAGAACATAGATATATAGGCTGTATTGAGATTCCCGGTTCGGAACCTCGGGAGCAGCGCAGTGGATGGATAGAGACACTGAGTGATATGACTGTTTTAAACCATGACCTTCAAGCAACTATTCAATTACTTCTAAATGTTACTCTTCCTGAATCTCTATTACCATCCCAGTCCCGCTCCCAGTTTTCAAGGCTTTCCCTCTACTCCTTCATGAGCAGATAAAAGATGGTAGCGAAAACCGCGGCTCAGTCGTATTTTTCCTTAAGGTTATTTGTGAACATAGGGACAGTTCGCGTTTGGCAACACTACAGAGCTTGTCGATCTAACCGTCGCCCTATTTCTCAGTTACTATCTGACAGCCTTCGACTGAATGTGATTTGTATCCGGAATATTACTTACACTCCTATCACATATCTAATAAATAGCAGGAAAAATCATTATTACGCGCGCTTCGCGATGTTTCAATTCCAGTAAAATGAACTAATTTAGAGACTCGTCAACAAGGGATGTAATGCATCCCAGCCAACCGGATGGACAACGAAGATCGCCTATCTCAAATCTGCGCGGACCACGGATTGTACCTGTCAAGCATCGACTTCTCACACGAGAAACCACACCACCTTACACGGAAGCCGCCAACCTCTTCACAGCGCTGGACCCAAATCGACCACAACGCCATCAGTTACCGATAGAGGGGATCGATTCAAGACGAGTCAAATTCTCCATACACCTGGCAACTAACTGCAAAAATCCACAAACCAAGGATATCCACGATACAACGTCAATGATTGTTGCAAATCGGAACCTACGCAAACATCGATAAAAACAACGTCGGACCCTACCGCAGGCTCATACACGATCGATCTCGTCCACCTCGGCTGATTTGTGTGACGCCTGCTGAACCATTTTTCCTGATGCCTAATACGACACAGCGCGCAAATATATTAAAGATCAGCTCACCCAGAGTCTGAGGCATGACAGCGATAAGCAGTGGGTAGGAAAGTGAACAGAAATGGAGAACGCCGTGGCTTTTGGTAATGGTCGCAACCTTCTCCGTCTAATCAGGAATACGGGCCCCAGAAAAATAAGTATAAGTGAGGTAATTAAGGAATCCGATGGCACACTGCTGCATCATCAGCACCGCCGTCCTAATCGATGGACTGAACACTTCGAAGCTAGGTTCAAACTCTGGCGCTGCCTTTCTCTGAAAAGTGTGTCCGAGAAGTTTATTTCAATATTACAATCCATCTATAATGATAGCCGAAATCCAGTCAGAGCTTACGGAACTTTTTCACTCCAGTTTACCACGGAAAGTGGTATTCCACAGGATTGTCCTCTCTCCTTTTCTATTTAATTTTGTCATAGATTTAATTCTTGAAACAGCCCTATCCTCGGTATCGATTTACTCCCAGGTGGCACACTGTTTGATCTAGAGTATGCAGACAACATTGTGCTACTAAGGGAAGATCCAGGTAAGTTGCAGGCATTTCTGGATAGTTTGAGTGCTAGTGTAGCCATGTTCGGTATGCGTTTTGCACCTTCAAAGTATAAAATGTTACTACAAAACTGGGTAAGTCTAGCGCCCAACCTTACTCTAAATGGAGAAGTAATAGAGCAGGTGGGTAAGTTTTGTTACTTGGGCAGTTACATCCCACCCGGTGGACGCACCACGGATGAAGTGTCAGCGCGCATACAGACGGCTCGGTTGGCATTTGCCAACTTCAGACATCTGTGGCGCCGTCGCAACATCCGGTTGTCTGTGAAGGGTCGAGTATATGCTGCAGCAGTTAGGCCAGTTCTGCTATATGGCGCAGAGACTTGGCCATTAGGAAAACAGGATAAAGATAAACTTCAGGTGTTTGAACACCACTGTCTACGTCACATTGCACGGGTCTGGTGGAGTAACCGGACGAGCAATATTGAAGTTAGGCGTAGAGTTTTAGTTAATCGTGGTCGTCCACTGGAACAAGTGATCGACCTCCATAGATGACGTTGGTTGGAGCATGTGTTACGCATGTCACCAAATAGGTTGCCACGGCGAGCGATATTCCCTGAGGTAGGTAGTAGGCGGAATAAAGTCAAGGGTGGTCAAGCTAAGACCTGGAATGAGGGTATGAAAACGCTAACCAGGAGACTGGCTCAAATAGGTCCCGTTAAGCTCCCTGGCTGGGGACATCGGGATGACCGTAATCGATCGTTAGAGATACTCAGTGATATGGCCGGATGTCGTAAACAGTGGCGTTCGTGCATCTTGTCGATTTCTCTGCAAAACGTGTGCAACGAAATCCTAAATTTTCTTTTCGATCCTAGTTTCAACCTTTGTGTGTTTCTCCTCATGTTCATCCAGATGGGTGGCCAAAAGACAGCATTCAAAAGCGACGCACAATAGTGCATGTTTGATGGTTATAGAAACTGAAACCTGAAACTATCCCCAAGGGACAGTCGAATGTTATGGCGGAGCGACAGATGTCGCAGGTTAGGGAAAACTACTCTAGCTTTCACTACTGGTGATATAATCCCCTTCCCCAACACCAACGCCAGCCGCGGTCGAGCTCCCGAGATACTCAAAGCTCTCAATCACTTCCAGATAGAGAAGAGAACCTATGGTCAACACATAGAGTACACAGTCTAGCTGTGCATAACCACTTGTTCAAGCGTCGTGATTTGATAACAAGAACAAGACTGCTGTCTGCTCGCTGCGATATCTTTCAATGTATTCAACTAGTCAGTTACGCAGTCTTTTGGATCCCCGCCTGGAAGACGAAATATAACTACTCTACCTCGGTTGAGAGTGGTGCTGTATCAAGCTCAACTGTGGCTTATATGGTAGAGATGGATCGCTTTAGGCTGCTGTCTCATGAAAGGTAAGATTGGAATGTTATAAATGTCAGCTTGAAAATAGTGAATTCATGAAGTTTTTAAGTATACTAAGAATATCCATGAGCGCCGCTGCTTACTACATTCAGCCGAACCGACCAAGAAGAGGTGTACGAAACATATCCATATCTTACTGTTTGTGGCAGTGGTCACCA